ACATCTACAAATTCCACAGCCAGTCCTAGCCAGTATTCCATACTCATCCTGCAGCTCCGGCTTAATACAGCTTCTGACAGAGTTTGTGCTGGTTTGAGGATGAAAAACCTAGAAGTTCTAGTTCTCTTTATGAATTAACCAACTGGCATTCTCACTTTGTAGGTCAATGCTATAAATCTGAGCAAGCCCTCCAAAACAGACAAAACTTCTCGGATATCCTGATGTATGAGTTGTTGTTTCTTTCTTTTCTTTTAATATATGAGGTTCTTTCAGAACCTGAAAGGGAGTGGGGCTGGCTCCCAATTAGAGTGGATTTCTCTCAGGGGCTCTTGGAAAACACAGGAAACCTTCTCAGGGAGGCTTGACATTGACATTAACAAAGCACACCTTTCCTTCTGAGACATCCAGAGAAGTCTATACTTTTTGTTTCATTCTGGGTGAATGAGTGAGGATGCTCCTCACTTACAATAAGGATAATGATAAACCCATTGTAAGTGGATAGGATACTAAGTAGAAAACTCATCAAACACACCACCCATGGAACATACTAGCTTGGCAGCTCGGCACACTGCAGAGCACTGGTTATTTCCCCTAGTGATCGTGTGGATGAGTGGGAGCTGCTACTTGATTCTGCTTGCTCCTGCTCAGCATCGCAAGAGTATTGTACTGCATATTGCTAGCCTGGGAAAGGATGCAAATTCGAAACTTGAAGTCTAGTTTCTGCTAAATGCCTATCATTTTTGCACCATCATAAAGTGGGGAAATCATATGTTGAGCCATTTTAAATCAGTGACCATCTATATCTAAGTATCAGTCATATTTCTATATTTATAAAGTATGAGAACCATATCTATTAATCTTCAGATGGCTGGTAGCCTTTCAACTTCCAGCAACTTTCTTTCTCAAACAAATGGAAGTACAGTCTGCAGCTCCCATACTTGTCACATGTTACAATTATTTCAAATATTCCATGAGGAAATGTAAAAGGGAAAATGCAAAGAAATTTTGGCATTTTCAATGACCCTTCTGGAAAACTAAATAAAAAAATAAATGGCCAATGCAGCAGAAGCATCAGTTTACCCACCTTGGAAATGGCTGCGTGCCCCAGGATGTCATCAGGGGATGTTGGCTCTTCAATCCACAATGGCTTGAACTCAGCCAGCTTCGACATCCACTCCACTGCCTCAGGCACATCCCAGCGCTGGTTGGCATCCATCATCTGTAAGGAAAGGGCCTTCACTCTGCTGCAGGGGTGACTCCCAACAAGGAGACATTGTCACTCAGTACCACCAACTGCTGAGGAAGATTCACCTGACATATCCTTTTTTGAGGACAAGCACATGCAGCCCAAACAAAAAGAACCAAAGAGTAGCCACTGAAATTAGAACTCTGGCTCTAGATACTGTCTTTTTTGAGGAGATGCAAATTGTTCATGAAGACTCTGGAATGTCTGAAAGTGCCCTGGGCTGGGTCATAAGAAATACTTGCTAGACCCTGAATCTCAGGCCCAGTTTACATTGAGATGCCCCCACACCCCCACAAATAGGTGTGTTTTGCAGTGTTGGTTAGATTGTTGGAACCATTTTATCATTCTGAATCATATGAACAGTCAATATTGAGTCTGCTCAAGAGTTATTTATTGACTACTACCAACCATGTGTCTGGCACATTAATAAATAACTA